CAGTGAGTCTTGTTTCAATTTTCTTGGATGTTTGTCCTATGTATTGTTTGGGGGCAATCTTTACATGGTATCATGTAGACCGCGTTGTTTGTGTCAAATGTTGTTGTTCGGTCTTTATGTTTAGTGAAGTATGATTTGAGTTTGTGTGTTGGTTTATGTGCGATGTTTATTTTGAATGGTCGGAGTAGTCTTGATGTCATTTCTGATGTTCCGTTTATATATGGTAATGTCAATATTTTTACTGGTTCGTCTGTATGTTGGTTAGGTTTTTCAGTTTGTGGTTTGTTGTGTATTTTGTTTAGTACTTTGTTGATAAAGTTTCGTGGGTAATTGTTGTTTTTGAATGTAGAGTATAAGTAGTTGCGTTCATTCTTCTTGGCTTCTTCTGTATTGCAGTGTGTTTTAATGCTGTTAAAGAGAGTTCGTATGCAACTAATTTTGTGTTGTGTTGGGTGATTGCTATTAAAGTTGAGTATTTGGTCTGTGTGTGTATTTTTGCTGAATACTTGTGTGTTTAATGTGCCGTCATGTGCATAGGCGTACGGGCACATATTTTTAGGGGGAGCTGGACTAAATTTGCCCGAATTATATGACGTCATATGACGTATGACGTCATAGATATTCTTATGTTGTCTCTGGCCATCTCAATTAATAAGCTAAAATCATTACAATTTGCTAAGAGGATGCTACGAAAGTAACTACATTTTATTTGATATTTGAAATTTTGTCATATATAACACTATACGCAGAAGAAATTTAGTTAGTTAAATGTGCGACGATCTAAGACTAAAAGAAATAAGATTTACGATTACGTCGCTGTCCAAAAATGTTAATTATCTTTTCCATGTCGTTCTTTAAAGTACTATTTGCATAGGCTCTTTCCACATTGATTAGGGCAATGCTGTTTAACCGTTTTTGACCAATTGTACTTCGAAGATAGGTTTTTAAGCGACGACGAGCGCTAAAAGATCTTTCTGCTGAGCAGGATGTTGCCGGGATCGCGGCCAGAATCGAAAATACTTTGTAAGCCACAGGCAGGACTTCATGAACACCATTTTCGAACATTCTCTTAACAATTTTGGCAGCGTTTTCTCTCTCAGCACAAGGAAATCAACGTCAATATTCTCAAAGACATTTTTCTCGCTACTAAGAAGCTCACTGTCGATACCATAGAAGTGTGATACCAACTCAACATTCGCCGTGGTTGGAGACCTGTTGAACACAATATCTGCAAGTGCCAATAGGACCTCTTGATCACTACCTTCAAATCTTGATTTCATCTCCGCCACAATCTTGTCAATGCTTAGGTAGTAGCATGTGATACGATAGTAATCTTTTTCTGTTCGATTTTCCACTTCTGCATTTACTTCCAGCCATTTCACCGACGAGAGCTTGGAGCCGCCGTGACGGCTGTTGGAATCTTGGTACTTTTGCATCTTTGAAATTGAATTCTGTACCTTCAATTTGCTCCTTAATTTTGTGTGCTATGATTTCAGCCCGTGACCATAACAGTTCGAAATTTTCGAGGAACGACATCCAATTAATGTCTTAATCACGCCATCAACACTCTTCTTTGCTGTGGCGACATCCATTTGCTTTCCTTGTAGGTACCTGCCTCAAACCATCGGTGTTAGATAAAATAACCTTTAATACCATCAAACCAAAAACGAACCGAAAGTCGCAAATCGAGTTAAGTAGCGAATTGCTGTCATTGTAGGTCTTCGGATCGCGATCTTTTGAGAGTGTAAGGAGAACCTCGATGATCTTAGGTAATTGGTTTACTACTGCTTTACAGCTGCCCAACGACAAGACCATCTAGTAGCACTCTGCGATTTAATAGTCAGTGTAATATCTTCGTCCTCATCTTCGACCTTGATGTCATTGAAGATGGAGTGGCGTTTGGGACTTCCTTCCAAGAAATTATGGAGACTCTGGATCACACCTAAAGCTTTCTGAAGTGGCTCAATTGTAGTCATCGTATCTTGTAGCGCCAAGTTAAGCCGATGCCCATGGCAGTGAACATAGATGCTAAGAGGTGAGCACTCCTTCATGCGTGCAGCAAGTCCTTTGCGAGGGCCACTCATATTTGCAGCGCCATCAAAGCATTCTGCGACAATGTTTTCCAATGTCAACTCTAGCCTGCCAATGGCTGTCTTTAACAGCTCATCAATACTTCTCCTTCCGTAGATTTGGTTGAATAGAAACCAGTGAATGTCTCTTTGGTTTCGCCATTGAAAACATATCTGAGGAAAGAGATAATTGCTCTGTTCGACTGATGTCTGCCGTTTCATCGACAACTATTCCGTAGTAGTCGCTACTTCTTGCTTCTTCTGCTATCCTCTCAAGCATGACACTTGCTACTATTTCCAGTAGTTCATTTTGAATAGCAGGGATGTCCACTGAGCATGTGTCTGCAGCTGGCTTTGAAGTTTAGATTTCAGCCAAGGCAAATCGTTGCATCTTATGCAAAGTAACTCGAGAAAGTTTCCTCTATTTATATCAGATATCTCCCATATATCACCCGAATCTCTTCATGACCTCTAATTGCAACATTTTGTTGTGCAGTGTACATCAAAGATTGTATGATTACTTTTAAGTATTGTCTGTTAATAGCAACCTGGTCCTGGTGTGCACTATTCAGCTGTTGTAGTACGGAGGTTTTCTTTCTTTCCATTGCTTTAAACTGGAGCCATCTTGTCATGGATCTGACGTGGTTCTCACTCTTGCCATGTTTTGCCAGCTTTGACGACTTCTTCCAATTTGTAAGCACAAATGAAGTATTCTTCCCAAATTCTTTACAGGCAAAACAAACGCATGCATCTTTATCCACTTCGTAACTAATCCATGGATATTTCTTGTACCATTCAGGCTGAAATCGTCGCACAAATGTTTCACTGCCGAATTTTCGTGCAGGATATTCACCTAATATAGGCTGTTTTGGGGCGTGCAAGGTGGAAATCTCTTCTTCATTCATACTGTTAAGGGAAACCTTTCTAGTCTGTTCATTTAGAACAGATGCTGTTGAATCTAAATCTTGTATTGCTGTTGTGTCTAGAGTGTTAGACGTCGTCGTTGATTCTGGTGTTGCAACGCGTTGTATATTTTGATTTAAGTTAAATTCTTCGATGAACAGTGCGTCACTGGAAGTAAGATTTTCATTATCCGTGACCGTATTCAATTTTTTATTTTCTCTGAACTGCGTCAGTGGATTTAATTCATCAACATCAATAAACGTTCTCATTGGTTCCGTTTGGTCTTCGCTTTATGGCTCCTTCAAATTAATCTCAGGTAGATTTTCCTCAAAAGACCCAGTGGCTGCTAAATCTTTACTAGCACTCGATTCTGTTTCCTGTAAGGTTAGGTTATCATCCTGGTTTTGTGTTACTTTTACAAAGAAACCACTGATCTTTGATCTGCGATAAACTGATGAATCCATCACTGATGACACTTAACTTTTCATTATTGTGAACTGCCGAAAGTGGACCTCCTTATAATCACTGTCAATTTCCTTGCTGCATTCCTCGCACCAAACGCGATGTCGATACGGTCGTTTACGACGCCATATGTACGCTTTATTAGAGCTTTACACTAAATGTTTTCCCTTGTGGATAATAGTTTCCTTGAACAACAATCATAGAGTGAATGGCACTAATCTAATCAATGGAATGGACAGTGCCTCTCCATACGAAGCCTAATTTTCATGCAAAATTAAAAATCACTTTGGGGATCGCAGCGATTGTTAATCTATATATTAATGTATAACGGATAGCGTGTGGGGAGACGATTTTTCGCAATTTCAAGACATTCCAAGACTTTTACTGACCTCAGCCCTTTTATAAATGGAGAACGTTATGTGGATAAATTTAATACCAAAAGCTTTGCTCTGATTGAAAATATCGGCGTTCGTGTTCGTTTAAGTTGTAAACACCGAATATATTCGTCGCAATATCGCTAGTAAATAGACCGATTTCTCGTGACGTAATTTGTTTATATTATAATGGGGCGGATGTAAATTCTCCTATTATGTCTCAAGAAAATTTTGCACCCAATCACTTTATGCGATTTTTATTTTACTCCTCCTGAAATTTAAGTAATTTAAAACAATTTAAAACCATCCATTAAAAGACCGTTCACGCTCAAGAACCGAAGCAGTTTATGATCTAGAAATGATGTAGATTAATATTGAAAATTTAAAACTGTAGTAAGTATCCTGCCAGAATATCATGTAAATGTTGCCTGAATACACAAATTCTCGAGAAATTGGGCTGCAGCCCCAGCCCACCCCCCACGACAAACGATATCATGATTCAGGTAATATCTAGAAGGTGTAGTTGTTTGTTCTATTCTTTTTCCATGGTGAAGGCGGTTCTGTGCGGTGTTGTTTATTGTGGCAGTAATGTGTTCTGTTTTGCCTTTCTGATGAGCAAAGATGTCGTCAACAAATCTCTCTCCATAGTCTGATGCGCGCTGTTAAGTGACTGACTGTTTCAAGGGGTGTTGCATAACAGCTCTGCAAGGAAGGTGATAAAGGAGAACCCATTGGTGTTCTGGA